CCTTCTACCACGACTCCTCTCCTAAAGAGACTCACCTGTCCATCCTCAGCATGTCCTACACTGTGAGGAGTTCTACTTTCTCCGCCGCCCTCTTCACCCTCTCACCTGCAAGCTAATCATACGCCAGGTGAACACTCCTCCCTTTACCTCGAAGGTTGGCACTCATGGTGTTCCTTGTGCCTCTTGTGATAAGGAATACTTTGGCGAGACAGGCAGACATCCAGTCTCACTAAGCGTCTGTCTCAACATAAGCACACTGTATCCAAGGGACACAATAACAACGCCCTATTTTGCTACCAGTAGGACACATGCCATCAGATGGACTGGTCAGCAGCGCAAATTGTCTTTCATGCCCGCAGACTAATGAAATCCTCTTTAGTAAAGCTGCTGCCTAATTTCAACTTGAATAGCGGCTTTTCTCCTAACGATAGTCTCCTCATACATATATACATATATAAATATATGCATATATCCATATATGATATATACTGATATACAGTATAAATATAATACATATATGTTTATCTATCTACATCTATCAATCTGTCTATCTATCTATACATATATATACATATATACATATGTATAAGTAATAGTAGTCAATATAGTGGCCTCGGTAGGAGGCAGTCAAACACAAAAGTCAGTTCAGGTCGGGCCTCTTGTCATGAAGATCGCTTTCAAAAACAAAACAAAATAAAATAATAACAATAATAAATGTTCCTATTTACGACGGAAAACTTTTCTACCGATATGAGATTGTGGAGCACTGGATAACAAATATTCAGGTAAGGGTATCCAATAATCTCTATGTATATACACACGTACAGACACACACACACACACACACACATATATATATATATATATATATATATATGCATACGTACATACATACATACGTTATTATATTATTAATATCGAAACATTAGTTCACAGGACTTAAGTTTAAATATTTGTTGTAGATTAGCTCAGTGAAAATACAGTGGAAGCATCCTTGGAATATTTTAAAAGCTCTGACAAGACCTTGTAGAACCTTTCTTTAATGCCTCATGACATAAAGGGTTAGTGAATAGCAAGTATTAATGCAGTACTGAGTATCAAAAATTAATATGGATATCAAGAAAAGTCTCCAAACAGATTCTCACTGCTACCGCCCTTGAATCTCCTTTGGTTGTTGTCTTGTACACCGTACTGTGCATAACATTTACCATTATCTTTAGTTAAGGATATTAAAGATACAAAGAGATGGCATTGGTATCACTATTGGGAAAGAAATGGCTAGTCCCTTAGGAAATTGCCATAAAATACCTAGCTATGTTGTTTTAAGCTTGCATCCTTTTTAACAATTGCCATTACCTTACTGAATGGAACCATTAAACACTGCAGATACATCAGGGTAATTTCGAATTAATAATACATACATTAGCGTATAGTTAGTATAAAAAGGAAAAAAGAGGGATTAATAAAAACTTATGCCCCACAAAGTGTCTTCGACTGCTTTCACCATTTACATGTATCTGGTGATTCTTGTTATGGAAAATGTATGTATTATTGAGGGAAATCATGGGACCAGGGTTACGTGAAACAATTTTCTATTCTTTCAGTTAACAAGGGGTGAAATTTGCTCAAAATCAAGCACTGACTTTTGAGAACTTGGCAAAATCTCCAAATTCCTCAAAAGATTGACTAGAAACTTTGTGGTTTGAGGAAGGAATCGCTGTGGCGCCGTTGGCGGGGGCGGGCGAGGCAATGACTGGCTTGACTTTGGAGTGAGAACCGTAACCACCGTGGTCGTCGTGGCCATATCCGCCGCCATGGCCGTGGTCATCGTGGCCATATCCGCCGCCATGACCGTGATCGTCGTGGCCATATCCGCCACCATGGCCGTGGTCATCATGGCCATATCCGCCGCCATGGCCGTGGTCATCATGGCCATATCCACCGCCATGACCATGGTCATCATGGCCATATCCGCCGCCATGACCATGGTCGTCGTGACCATATCCACCATGGCCGTGGTCGTCATGGCCATATCCACCATGACCGTGGTCACCGTGGCCATATCCGCCGCCATGACCATGGTCGTCGTGGCCATATCCACCATGACCATGATCATCATGGCCATATCCTTTGTGGTCGTCGTGGCCATATCCCTTGTGGTCGTCATGGCCATACGACCCCTTGTGTCCTCCCTTCTTGCCGTAGGAACTCTTGTGTCCGTAGTGGCCTTTGTCGCCGTAGTGGCCCTTGTGGCCCTTGTGGTCATCGTGGTACTTGCCCTTCTCGTGGTGCCCCTTGTGGCCGTGCTTGTCGTGGTGATGACCTCCCTGGAAGAGGTTATTATTGGCATTATTGTGTGGCGCACTTCATGCACAAAAGATATGTATTTTTTCTTTATTTAGTTTTGGTTGCACGTTGCTTAGTCAGCCTGAAGCACCCCTGTTAATTGAGAGCAGTGCCTACCTTGTAGTGGCCTCCCTTGTAGTCCTTGCCCTTGTGGCCCTTGAAGTAGGCGTCGAAGTCGTCGTATTTGCTGTGGTACTTCTTCTTGTCGCTGTCGTCGTAGAACTTCTTTTTGTGGTGGTACTCCTCCTTGTGGTAGACGTTCTTGAAGCCCTGAGGAAAACAAGGCAAGAGTAGGGGATTTATACGAGCGAATGAGACCAGCGTCTTGTGTGTCTGATTTACTCAGTAAATTATACGCCTTGCTTGTTTGTTCTGACTACGAGCTACAAGGGTGTTTGTTGGAAGAAAATATCTTATCATCGACTTAAATGAAAACACTTTCTTGTTGATTAATTAACAGTAAATAACTTGAGTACACCAAACTGTTTTGTTATACTGATATTTATGTAACTGATGCCAATAATAAGGATAGTGATGACAGTGACAAGCAATTGAACTCACCTTGTCTTTGTGACCTTTGTTGTGGTGGCCCTTGGAGCCGTAGTGATGCCCTTTCTTGCCCTTTTTGCCTTTGTGAGAATCACCGTAATACTTGTGCTTGTCGTGATGCCCCTTGTACTTCTTGCCGTTGTTGCCCTTGTATCCCTGCCAAGAGAGAATGATTAATACTTCCATGTCTGATAATCGCAAAACCTGTGTGCGTTGATAGTTCATCCTATTTCAGGTGAGTGGAGGTGAAGTGTTCTGACCTTGTAGTGGGCCTTTCCATGGTCGCCGTAGTGGCTGCCTTTGTAGCCTTTGTTGGCTTTATGTCCCTTGTGACCCTTATAGCCGGCCTTGTCGTGGTACGAGCCCTTATATCCCTTGTCGGCCTTGTGACCTTTTCCACCTCCATAACCTGTGATAATTTGGAGAATTTACAAGAAATGAGAATGAATAAAATCATTGATATTTCAACGATAACACCTTCAATAATAGGAAACAATATCAGTTAGCAGAATGATATTTTTTTCTTCCTTTACCTGTAGCAGACGGCTTGAGATCCGTCGCGGCCACTACTGAGACCTGTTGGCTCTCTTCTGGCACGAGAAGGTCGGCCTCGTCAGGTCCCTGAAGGAAGCCAACTCCGAGGTCCTGCTCCTCCTGCTCCCCCTTGGCTGCGGCGGAAACTGCCACTGCCGCCAGCAGTAAGATAGCCTGGATCTGATGAAAAGTGGACTGAATAAGGTAGATAAAGAAACGAATTCATAAACTGTGTAGCTTTGTAAGAAGTAGCACAAAACAGAGGGAGAAATAAGTCAATAAATAAATAAAAATGAATAAACCAATGAAGAAGGAAAGAAAGAGAAAAAGTAAGAGACACAGACTGAGAGATACACAGAGAGCGAATGGAATACGTAGATAAGAGAATCCCATGACACAAACCCATTTGGTTGTCCCCATCTTGAACGCTGCCAAGGGATCCCTCCTGTCGCTAGAAGGAGTCAGCGCCTACTGACTCCTCTCCCAACTTTCCCTCTCTTTATAGGGAGCAGCTTGGTTTCCCTTCACAAGCCATGAGCAATGGAGGGGACTAGTCATTTCATTGCGCGTACATTAGTTAAGGTTAAAGTTTAAGATATATACGTATATATTTATATATATTCATATATATATGATTATATACTTATATATATATATTTATCTATCTATCTATCTATATATATATATAAACACACGTATATTTATATATATATATATATATATATATATATATATAAACACACGTATATATATATATATATATATATATATAAACACACGTATATTTATATATATATATATAAACACACATATATATATATATATATATATATATATGTTTCTTTTTCTTTTTTTCAACAGCCATTTATTCCACTACAGGACAGAAGCCTCTCTCAGGTCACTATTGAGAAGTTATTTGGGAGCGCCACCATTGCTTGATTGATGTCCTTCCTAATCAACCGCGGTTCGGCGTGATAACACTCGTGCCACGACGGTGACTTCCCCTTCGACACCTGCGTTTGACTTGTCAAGGCGATATGTCGTTTTCTCGCCGTGAGCCAGCAGTCGGAGCGCAGGCATTTTTACGACTGCCGCGACCCGGAATTGAACTTGGGACATTGAAGGTCGGGGTCCAGTCCACTGGACTATCGCGGCAGTCACACACACATATATACTTATAAGTATGTATATATAATGTATATATATATGTAAACACATATATATACATGCACACACACACACACACACATATATACATATATATGTGTATATATACACATTGATATTTCGAGGTTGTTTGATAACCTTGATAACCTTAACTATTGGCTTTAAGAAGTCTAGCATGATTGTGTTTGCAATATGCTCGTATACACACACACACACACAAATACGTATATGAATATGAATATCTAGGTATATCTATCTTTCTATCTATCTATTATCATCATCCTGTAATCCTCTCCCAAAGTTTTCCAATTATGCTCCAAATTTCGCCATTTGGCCGTGACACCTTGTCATAATTCAAGGTCTTGGCCTCCCTGTGTTAGGTTCATTCCAGTCAGTCACTTTCTTTGTCCAGCTTTCGTCCTGTTTCCGACTTTTGTGGCATGCCCATCGCCATTTGTTCTTAATGCTGCTGATCATATCTTCCACTCTGGCCTGTTCCCTGATCTACGTTGCCCTCTTCCTATCCCTTAGACTAATTCCCAGCATCAACCATTCCGTTCCTCTCTGGGC